GTCATCATTAAGACATTATATTTGAGCTTTACTTATTTCCACGCTTACAAATGTTGTATAGTCCTCTTGAACTATATAACAAAGTTAGTTAGTTCTTAAAAAACATAATTTTTTGACACATAAATATACTACAAAGTTAGCGCTATATAAGCTGTACTCGATTCCCAATCGTTAGAAACATTAGATCGGGACCAAAAAAAAAAAAAAAAACATTGTATAATCGCCTTGGCCTAGAGCGTCAACGCCATATGTCTTCTATAAAAACTCATTAAAATAAACACATTTTGTTTTCTGTTTTTCTGCTATGTAAAAACTTTTCTATGGCAAAACGTGTAAGCAAAACAATTGGTAGGATTGAAGAAAACGCTTATACCATTTTGATTACTTCCGATCTTTTGTTTTGAATTCAATTCGCTAACTTTGTTGCCATTTTTAATCCAATATTAAAAGTTTAGTTAATTTCGACGAAATCTTGAAGATCTTACCGTATATTAGGTTTATAGGAGTATTGACCTGATTTGATCTTTTTCGCCAATAATACTTGCAGTTAAACGACCACAGACTAATAAAATGCTTCCAAGGTTTCATCAAGGTTCCTCACATATAATTACTACACATACTGATTATAGCCAGCCGGGTGTTCGAAAATTATGACATTAGTAAGATAGGCTAGACAAAGTTCTCACCTAATGATATGCCTTTTTGGCAAAAAGATACTCTGTTTTGGGTAAAACACGCTCTGTTAATTTTATTGAGATAACTAACATATTGATTAATATTAGGGTGCTAAAAGATATATTGATTCAACCCATTTTAGACATACAGGTACATACATTCTATTATCAGGAAAGAATTTTCTCCTAATTACAATTATATATCTCACACATTGATCAATATTTTATGTAAAAAGTTAATTATAGGTACTGGGGTCTGTCAATTAGGTACCTAGGGGTTTTATGCGAATTGCACAATTTGAGGTGGCATATTTCAAAGGCAATATACGTTCAAAATCGTATCTCATTGTATTATTTTTTCTGGGTTTGTATAATGGGAAGTTAAAGAATCAAAAGAAATTTTAAATTGTGATATAGAAAGTACATATTTAGGTGTGGTTGTATTCTGAGTTCACCTATTTTCACAATGTAACATAAAAATGAAAGGTGAATGTAACGAACTGATTTTGGTTGAAATCGATAGTGGGGTCTTGAGATATGTGATTTCACCTATAAGTGGGCGGTGCCACGCCCATCCTCTAATTTGATCCTGGCTCCTTTAAAGTCCTCTCATACTATCTCGGTGATAAAATTTTATGTATATCCGTTATACGGGATGTGAGCAGGATTATAATTCAATTTCAACCATTTTCACACTATCAGTAGGAGTTCTTATAAAACTTATGATAGACGAATGTGGTTATTGTAGCTATAGTGGCTTGCGTTGGTACTGTTTTATACGTGGCGGGTCCCAAACCTAGCGCACAACCTAGTGGAGGGAATGTTTCGCCTCTTTCTTTAGCTCTCCAAGCGGATGTTAGGCTAACCAGAGGATACTTGGTCAAAGACCGGAAGTCGTGAGCGGCTTGAGCCATATGTAAAATAATAGTTTTTGGCCACCCAAGTGAATAGCGATCAGAGAACTTTCCTCACCGGATCGGAAAATACTAACCAGATCGATCATGTTGTGATAGACGGAAGGCACGTCCCCAGTGTTTTAGATGTGCGTGCGCTCCGAGGGAGGTCAATACATCGTCCCGGACCACTGCCTTGTTGCAGACAATATTCGCCCCCGCCTCTGTGCAGTAAAAAACGCACCTCAACAAACACAAGGAAGGTTCGACGTTAAGAAGCTGCATGATCTTCTATTTGGTATACACTAATGCTCTCTGAGATTCAGTATACGGAATTGTGAGATGGCATTTCAAACTTTTTGCGTATAGCTGCAACCGAAACCATTGGTTTTCGTAAAATGCAAAAGAACTGCTGGTACGACGATGAGTGCGGTGTCGCAGCTTAGAGAAAACAGACTGCCTACCTAGCAACGTTACGAACGACCACAACATGTGCGTTTCAGACAGAAAATGTAAGAGACCGAAATAAGTGAGTATGAAGAGCTTGAACAGCTGGCCGACACAGGTAATGCTCGAAAATTCTACAAAAGGATGCGGTGGCTAACAGAAGGTTTCAAGATCGGAGATATTATGAAGGGAACACTTTTCTATCCTGCTGAATGGGAGTGAAGTACAACACCAGGAGAAGGTGATCCGATTCCCCAGTCGATGACGAAGGAGCAGATGTTCCATTGCCCGACCATGAAGAAATTCGATTAGCAACAAAGTGGAGGGGGTCGATGAATTGCCGGCTGAGCTATTCAAACATGGCGGCGAAGAACTGATAAGGAGCATGCATCAGCTTCTTGTAAAATATGGTCGGACGAAAGCAATGGCCAAGAGTTGGGATTTAAGTGTGCTCTGCCTAATCCACCAAAAGAGAGACCCCACAATCTGCACAAACTACCGAGGGATAAGCCTCCTCAACATCGCGTATAAGTTTCTATCGAGCATATTGTGTGAAAGATTAAAGCCCACCGTCAACAAACTGGTTGGACCTTATCAATGGGGCTTTAGACATGGCAAATCAACATCCAACCAGATATTCACCATGCGCAAAATCTTGGAAAAAAACCGTGAAAGGAGAAACGACACATACCACATTTTCGTCGATTTCCAAACTGCTTTCTACAGCTCGGAAAGGTCCTGCTATATCTGAATTTGAAACCCCGCAAAATTATTACGGCTGTGTAAACTGAGCTTGAACAAAAATCAATCTTTTATAAGAGTGTAAGCTGCTGGCGTATGCCGATGATATTGATTCACGTCGGCCACGACGAATATCGCATTCTATTTAACGCAGAGCTGTGTGAGATACACGACGACATTGACATTGTTCATTGAATTATAAGAATTAAAAGTGCGAAGGACCCAGTGGAGAAGGACCTCGCTTCGCTTGGAATATCCAATTGGCGCCACGTAGCGAAAAGAAGAAGCGACTGCAGCGCTGTTGTTAGAAGCTACATTGGTTTAGGATATATGTACATTACACTTATTGGTGGACGGGGCTACGTCCACTTTTTCCGGTTGACTTATTATATGAGACTTATTATATGAGGTACCTTAATGAATCTCAATTAATGAGTTTGTGGCATGTTAATAGTAAGTAATATTGGTAAAAATAAATAAAATCGGGTCGATACCACCCCAAGTCTTACATTCGACATATGAATAGACGATTTTAGTTTTTCCAACAAACATTATGTCGAATATGTTGGTAGGTGTATGAGTTTTGCATATATATATATATATATATATATATATATATACATATATACCGGCTAGAGTTATGTTATGTTTGTTCATTAGTGTTTGTAATTTCATAATGGAAAGTCTTTCGCCTGAACAAGTTATATAAAGCATTTAACTGTATTATTAAAACTCACGTTCTATCACGTTCCTACGCTTCGATCAACTTATGGTCAACATAAACGGTCATGTCGGTCGCCACACCATCTTGAGACCCAGCATTTATTCCGCCATTCGCAGAAACTGTAACTGAGCTATGGCACGTTTTGACGCATTTTACGTTGGGGTCATAAATTGAAAGCGTACAAAATACAGCATGTTCAAGAACTGAAGCCGCGCGAACTTCCCAAGCGACATCGCTTTCAAGAAGGTTCGACGTTTTCGAGACAAATTTTGTTCAACGATAAGGCCCATATCTGACTCAATGCGTATTTTAACAAGCAAAATTGCTGCGAATGGGGCATAGAGCAACCTGAAGATATTCATGAGCTCCCACTTCCTCCTGAAAAAACAGCGGTTGAGTAGTTTGTGGGCCGGTGGGTTCATCGGTCCATATTTCTTCTATTTGATACCTGAAATTGATGCTCGTTATCTCGCCGATATTTGGTTTCAACAGGAACACACACTGTGAGTCTTTTTACTGTGGGGACATTTAGAGTATTAAGTCTATGCGGACAATCCCGCTTCGATTCAGGCCTTGGAGCAAAACATCACGCGTGTCATTCACCAGTCCGAATTTTTCGAACGAATCGAAAATTGGACTTTACTAATGAACCATCAGAGCCGTGGCCGCGGCCAACATTTGAAAACAATACTCTTCAAAAAATAAATGCCAAAGAATGTTCTTTCGAATGATAATAAACATTCCTCATTAAATTGAAGTTTCTGTGTTTTTTTCTTTAAAAACTTTGAAAACCTCGAAATGGATCACACTTTATATATTATATATTTATGTATTCACACATATATACATTCGCTAGGATTCCGATCCTCTGGTTAACGTTTTACACCTTAAGGTATTTCCCTAGCTTTAATTTGATTTAATAGTAAAAATTTTGGATTCATCCGAACATAGCCGTTTCTTACTTATTATTGATGTCGTTATCGTATGGCCACGTACAAAAATAATATAATTGAGTTTGAGAATACGATATAAGTAAACCCACCCGGTTTTGTCTAAAAATCTGTTGTAAATTCATGATTTGCGACTAAGGTATATCACTGTATAGAGGAGGAGGCGATGATCCGATTTCGCTCACAGGTAATACTAACATTCTCAATGTTCTAAAGTTCCAAGGAATAATGGCACCAAGTTTATCAAGATATATCAATTTTTACTCAAGGTATCGCTTCCATAGAAAAATAAACAGACAAACAATAGGCTTAAATTCCTCGCCTCGTCATCTTGATATGTATGTACATATTATATAATATTATATCTCGATTAATTTTGGGTGTTACAAGTAATAGGTAAATGAACTATTATATTATTTATATCATGTCATGTCCTGTTGTCGTATCCCGTCACCACCCGTTTTATTTATTAAGTGGAGTGTAATACGAACTGAATAATGTTAATATTCACAAAAAATATATACATTTTTGTAAATTTGATAACGAAATGTTTGATATTTTTTATTTGCAGATATATATTCAACGCAAACATCCTCAAACTATTCACCGTCTGTGTCGGATGGTACCTTAACACCAAATTCATTACAAAATCATGAACACATAACACCACATCTTGCTCATCTACAAACCATTCCATACTTTCCGCAGCAGCGTTCCGACGGGAGTGTTAATCAAAACGAAAATCAAGGTAAACGAGTTAATATTGACGGAAACGAAATGGAGGGTAATGAAGATGCCAAACCAACAGAAAACAGTTCTGCGAAGACGCTTAACACAACTAAACTTGAAGAAAGCAATGGTAATTCGAATATTCAACACAAACGACAAGTGCGCCTTCACCGGCAGCACCTTTACCACCATGGAGAGTATCACACTGCGAAGCTTGTTACAAAACTGAGAAAAATCGAAAGAGTCGAGACAAAGTTTGATAAGTTGACAGGAGATGGCATTAAGGGAAGCAACGTTGATGGGTCTTATCAATGTCAATTCTGTGAAAAATCATTTCCGCGGCTTGGTTATTTAAAAAAACACGAACAGGTGAGACTCAGTAAGAAAGGGGTGATAATACATTTCATAGCATAAGAGAAATTAAATCTTTTAATTTTTGTTCATTTGGATTTATTTATACTATATGTTTATATCCATTTAGTTATGTATAAGATGAGTGGAAGATTAGGAATAAATTTCTTATTAATTATGGCAATATGGTATGTTATTTCCTAAACCTGCTTAACGTATGCAATAAAAATATAAAAATATTTTGATTAAAGAAATGTATTTTTGGTAAATCCCGTACGACTGTTGCTAATTGTATTTGAATATTTGCTTCCATTGTGGATGTAAATTGGTAAACAAACAAAGTATCCTTAATTGATAAAAATTAATATTGAGAAATATTGACGATCCTGTATTTTACTCAAATATAAACTTTTTGGAAATATTTCAATGTATCGTATAGAAGCAATAATTTTTTTAAACAAATTTCTATGCAAATTTAAAAAACCATTAATGATAATAACAATTTCTATGATAAAAGATAATGACTATTCATGGTACTTTGGAGGATACTAAAACTTAATCTGTTCTTCTTCTTCTTTATTGGTGTAGACACCGCTTACTCGATTATAGCCGATTTAACAACAGCGCGCCAGTCGTTTCTTCTTTTCTCTACGTGGCACCAATTGAATATTCCAAGCGAAGCGAGGTCCTCCTCTACTTGGTCCTTCCAACGGAGTGGAGGTCTTCCTCTTCCTCTGCTTCCCCCGGCGGGTACAGCGTCGAATACTTTCAGAACTGGAGTATTTTCGACCATTCAGACAACATGACCTAGCCAGCTAAGCCGCTGTCTTTTAATTCACTGAACTATGTCAATGTTATCATATACATCATACAGCTCATCGTTCCATCGAATGCGATATTCGCCGTGGCCAACGCGCAAAGGACCATAAATCTTTTGCAGAACTTTTCTCTCGAAAACTCGCAACGTCGACTTATCAGTTGTTGTCATCGTCCAAGCCTCTGCACCATATAGCAGGACGGGAATTATGAATGACTTATAGTTTTTGTTCGTTGAGAGAGGACTTTGCTTCTCAATTGCCTACTCAGTCCGAAGTAGCACTGTTGGCAAGAGTTAACCTGTATTGGATTTCCAGGCTGACATTGTTTGTGGTGGTTCCCAGATAGACGAAATTATCTACGACTTCAAAGTTATGACTGTAATCAGTGACATGAGGGCCAAGTCGTGAGTGCGACGATCGTTTGTTTGATGACAGGAGATATTTCGTCTTGCGCTCATTCACTGCCAGACCAATGTGCTTTGCTTCCTTGTCCAGTCTGGAGAAAGCAGAACTAACGGCGCATCGCAGCATACGCCAGCAAGTTCTGCAGCTCGAATTATTTCTCCAGCAGCAGATTGAACCAACCAGCCATATTTTACAAAGAAGCTGATGCATGCTCCTTATAAGTTCTTCGCCGCCGTGATTGAATAGCTCGGCCGGTAATCCATCGGCCCCCGCCGCTTTGTTGCTCTTCAGTCGGATAATTGCTATTCGAAGTCATGTGCAGAAGGTCACGCAAGTGAGGAAGATCAGAGGATCTCCATTCACTTGAGAGTGGCCAGAAACGATTATTTTACATATGACTTAAGCAGCTCACGACTTCACTCCACTCACGGGACAAGGACAGAGACAAGAAGGTCCTTGTGGTATTTACTACAGTGGCCATATAAAGAAGCGCAATTTTGGTGTGGGATTCGTCGTGGGAAGGAGTCTCCGTCGCCGAGTACTATCATTCACTCCGATGAATGAACGTCTAGCCACAATCCGCATCAAAGCGAGGTTCTTCAATAGAGCTGCCCCCGCCACGATGTCAAAATCGTGCTTGGCGACTTTAACACCATGGTAGGCGAAGAAGGTATCTTTGGCGCTACGGTCGGTAAATTCAGCCTCCACGACGAAACGTTACCAAATGGGTGGAGGCTGATCGACTTCGCCGGCGCCCGAAATATGGTTATCTGTGGTACTAGATTCCAGCACAAGAATATACATCAATCTACCTGGATGTCTCCGGATTGACACGTCGCTAGTGTTCTAGACGTGCGTAAGCTTCGAGGTCCTAACATCGACTTGGTCCTTCCACAAGGAAGGTTCGACGTCGAGAAGCTGCAATCACAACAGACAGCCGAACGATTTGCTACTGAGAGCACTCGTCAACAACTCGGTATAAGGGAACTGTGGGACGGCATTTCAAACTCCTAACGTACAGCTGCAACCGAAACCATTGGTTTTCGAAAAATGCGACAGAACAGCTGGAGCGTCGAGGAGTGCCGTGTCGCAAAGGAGAGGAAACCGACTGCCTACCTCGCAACGTTGCGATCGAGCACAACCCGTGCGGGATGGGGTATCTATCCCGAGAGTTGAAGAGGAAAGGGAGATGCATTTGTAGAAATAAAGAGAAAGAAGATTTCAAGACCGGTGCATTCTCTTGTAGAACCCCCAAAGGAGATACACTTCTCCAATGAATGATTGGCAGTGAACACAAAACGCCAGGAAAAGGTGAACCCGATTCCCCAATCGATGACAATGGAGCAGACGTTCCATTGCACGACCATGAACCAGTTCGAATAGCAATTACTCGTCTGAAGAACAACAAAGCGGCGGGGGCCGATGGATAGTCGGCTGAGCTATTCAAACACGGCGGCGAAGAACTTATAAGGAGCATGCATCAGCTTCTTTGTAAAATATGGTCGAACGAAAACATGTCCAACGATTGGAATTCAAATGTGCTATGCCCAATCCATAAAAAGGGAGATCCAACAATCTGCGCTGACCTCTTCGTCGATTATAGCACGAAAAGGAGCTGCTTTTATGTCGCGATGTCTGACAAAATACAATAAAGATTTTTTCGACTACCCAGTATTCGACCTGATCGAATTTGGTCGATTTAACTTATTTGGTTTATGAGATATGTATATTAAACACATTAAGGGGAGGGGTCACGACTACTTTTTGTACTAAATAAGAGTTTTATGTCATACTGTGAAGCTTAATTACGACACTGGCACTTTGTGGGCGTGGTAGTCTTCAAATTACGCCCATGAGTCTCATTTAGGTGCCAAGGCACACATATACGAAGTTTGAAACATTACTAAAGTTAGCAAATAATCGGATAGACATTTACTCGGAATTAAACTTATCCCGTCATCCTGATCATATTTATATATAAAAAGTACGTGCAACGTTGTTTTTCCGTAAAGGAATCCTAAGCTACTGAACCAATTTTAGTAAAATTTAGCACACTGTGTCCAGTTCGAACCAACTTAGAAGATAGGATAGTTAAAACCATTCATAAATAAAGAATACAGTGAAAGCTTTTTTAAATGAACGTGCTATTAACCATACGCATTGTTCATGTTTATTAAGTACAGTAGAATCCCGATTATCCAAATCAAATAAAACCAGGGCTATTCCTAATAATCGAAAATCCGGATAATCGATTTCAAAGCAAATCAAACAATTTTTAAATTACATTACAATTAATAAAAACCGAGCTCTAACAATAAATAATGTAGTACATAATGCCTATGTAATTTAAAATTTTGGTTGGAAATAACTTGTTATTGGTCTTTTACGTAAAGAATCGCATCGTTTCATTGCGGCCAAGTCCCTGATGCGTTTCAGTTGTAGCAACTGTATGGGATCCGATACATCCTGTCTTTCAAACCATTTAAAAGCAATATCAAGAGCTTCAAAAGCTTCTGCGTGAGATGGTACTTAACATACATCCCCAGTTTCAGTCTCTTTTTCATCTTCTCTCTCGTTATTGTTCAAATCCTCAATGATTTCTTTATCATTTAATATTTGGAATCCAGGGTCTTCATTATTTCCATTCCTTAATATTTTCTACATCGCACCCTTCACCAATGCTAAGAATTTCCATTGCTTCTGTTATTTCTTTAAAATCGTCATGCGGTTAAATCGAGGAATTAGATAGAGTTAATTTTAATAATTTATTCCAAGCCCTTTTTAATGTTTGCAATTCCACAGAGTTCCACGCTTCTACCAGCATATAACAACAATCTTTTAAATTTGTTTCCTTAAAAAAATTTAACGTCGTTTCTATTTCACTGTCCTCTATTGTCAAAAGACGACGCAATGGTTGCTTTCTGTATAAGCGTTTTAAAGTTTCAATGATACTTTGGTCCATTGGTTGCAATATCGATGTTACGTTAGGGGGTAAAAACTTAACTGTGAACTTCCCATTTTCTCGATTTAGTATTTCAGCGGAAGGTTGCGTTGGCGCATTATCTAACAACAACAATACTCCGCAATCTTTCCCCACGTCCTTTTGAAATTTCTTCACTTCAGGAATAAACGTATTTTCATACCAAGTAAGAAAAATATCTGTGTTCATCCATGCTATTTTTTGGTTAGCGTAAGTTAAGGGGATTTTAACATTTTTGAAACAGCCCGGATTTTTTGATTTACCAATAAGTAGCAGTGGCAATCGATGTGTTCCATTAGCGTCTGTGCACACCATAACTGTAACTCTKTCCTTACTATTTTCACGACGTGATGCTAACGATCTGCTTGGTAGAGCCTTCCAATTAAGACCTGTTTCATCTGCATTGTATACAAAATCTAAATCGTATTCTTTTTCATCTAGAAATTCTTTTAACTCGTCTACAAAAGAGTCGGCTGATGCAACGTTAGCAGAAAGTTTCTCTCCTTGAATCTCCAGTTCTTGAATGCCGTGTCTAGATTTGAATTTTGCTAACCCTCCACAGCTCGCTTTGAAAGAATTATTACCACCAAGTTTTTGATTAAAAGCCAATGCTTTTTCACATAGCTGAGGTCCTGATATGGGCTGACCGAATGCTCTCTTTTGTAAAAACCAAGTAATAACTGCATTCTCCAGAATTTCATTAATTTTGAGTACAATCCTTTCCTATTCTTATACCTACAAAAACGTTTCCGCCTTTTTACATAAATAACAACGCGTGGCCAGATTCCTTAGTTTATATATATATATTTGAATTTATGCCTATCTCAATTAGTTTTCGCTATTATAAATAACCGTTAGGTGAACAAAACTCCCGTGCAACATGTTGCGAGAGTATAAAAACAATATCAAAATAATTAGTTCAGGTCAGAAATTTTGTATAGTAAGTAAGCAAGAAAATCGAACGCATTTATTATATATAGCATTATAGTAATTATAATGCATTATCCATGAAGTCCCACCCAACCCACATGTAGTACACAGACGTGCTACTATCTGGAAAGGATTCTCTCTGAATTTCAGTTATGTGTCTAACACATTGACCAATATTTTCGGTAAAAAGTCAACTACAAGTATAGGCAGTTCAGTACCTAGGGGCTTGAACAGTTATAGTTGGATTTGGACAATTTTTGGTTATAAAGTGGTTAACTGTAAAATCATTATTCCTTCAAAGTTTTATCCTGTTATAATAATTGCTTTTCATTTGTACACTCGAATGGAAAGAATCAGATGGAATTTAAAACTGTATTCTAAGGAAAGTAGGCGTTGCTGTATTCCGATTGTAACATTAAAGTGTCAGAGGACTGCCACATACCATATTTGTTAGAAATCGGTCTAGCGGGTCCTGAGATATGTGATTTTACCTAAAAATCGACAGACCACGCCCATTTTACGATATTGACACCGGCTTGTTCAAAATCCTCTCATAGCACCTCGGGGGTTAAATTAAATGCCTCTAGCGCATTTAGGCTTAAGTGAGAAGTTGACTTTATTATCCGATTTCATCGATTTCCATCAAGGTCTCATAATTTTTAAAGCTTGCACGCATGGACGGACGGTCGAACATACAGACAGTCTCGCGAATTTCTACTCGTCTTGTTATCTTCATCTTTTATATATATAATATGTATACTAATATAATATATATATATAATAATATACTAGTATATAACCCTATATGCATCTCGATTCCAAGCAAACATACTATTATTAAGCGATCATCTCAGCTTCTGTATAAACTCGTTTCGATGTTACCAACAGCATTGTCAATGGTATAAAATAGAAATTGGGTTCAACCGCAAAAACACACACAGTTATCCTGAAACGACAGCAATAAAGTGTGCGAGATTCTTATCATTTGTAAATTTTTGCACTGTCAAGTTTTGATATACTTCATCAGTTACTTGTTTGTCTTGACTAGCCGACAGCACCTCCGTTGCTACTACCATTTGTCTTACGATATTTTTTGTATTTATGTTCATGGCTTGATGATTTGGTGAGCAGTTTAAAAAACCATAACCAACACGATAACTTGTTCATATGGTGCAATATGCGTTATGAATCTGCATACAAATTGGCTCATTTTACGAGTTCGTAAGGCGTTCTCAGTGTCAGCGTCAACGTCGGCTGGTACCATCACTGTTCAAAGCAAAAATGCCGCTAAAACGGCTGAAACTATGATTCACCATGTACATACGAAATTTTCATAAGTATGTATGTGTTTCTGTGGTGTATTTAAACTTAGTTTCGTTTAGTTTTAGATGCATACTAAAGTATTAGTATAAAGCATACATTAAAATTTCATTTTTATCTGTCAGAATTACCAATTTTCTACCATTTGGCTCACAAAATAAATATTACAACTTTTACTAAATACATGCTTAGATGTGTTACAAAATTTTGTGCTTGAGTAATACAAATGGACGTACGTGAAAAAGCGGCAGATTTTATTATTTTTAAAGTAATACCCGACCAACTTTCTTATTTAAATGATAAAATAAAGAAAAACATTAATTTCATTTATAGTATAAATAAAATTAAAAAAATGGATAACATGATTTTTTCATCTAATGTCAGTCCCTTATATTTCGAGCTCATTTTCTAAAGCACACTAACTTTCAAATTACTTAGTCTAAGCCCTGAATGAGTTTTGTTTTTAATTTTTAATATTTTTGATAAATAGCATGTCACTAACTTAATTCTAAATAAAAAATTTAAATCGCAAAAAGTATCGCTATAAAGTGTTGACAATATGCGCAACACTTTAAAACTTTGAATCGTTTATTGTGCGTGGCCACAGGTGTAACACAAAGATCGCCCATATATCATGATACCGTTAATTTTTTTTTTAATTCTGTAAATTTCTTTGATAAAAACTTTGGGTATCTCTTTTTAAGCTCAGTAATTATTTCCTATAACGAAAATATCTCCTTGTCTTATTTATATTTCATTAGCCTATAAATATTTATAATTACTTTTTATAATATTGGCATATTTTACTTATCCAGATACGCCTTTGTTCAATTCGAATTCAGAATGGGAAATTCCCACCGGTTTTGATGACTACAAGTTATAATATGATGCAAATTGTAAATAATAGTACAGTTTCAATTGTCTACATGTATACATGTAGTGTAGTCTATGTGTATACATATGTGTATGTATATGACTATATTTTAAAACTTACATTGCAGGTAAAAAGTAATGAAGTACAAATATTTTTTCAAATATCGTTGTTAATTAGTTACACGCTACTATATATAATTTGCTAACATATATTTTAGCAATGCATAGTTAAACAAATGTTTTATTGGATATATATTTTTTTAGAGTCATGCCGAACATCTACCTTTCAAATGTGAATATTGCGCTAGACTTTTCAAACATAAAAGGTCTAGAGATCGGCACACCAAGCTGCATACTGGGGATCGACGATACCGTTGTCCACACTGCGAGGCAGCTTTCTCTCGAAGGTAATAAAGATGTAGTGAAGAATTTTCGTAGTTGAAATGGTCTAGCTTTCAACCTATGAAATTTTAACTTTATTTATATAAATGTTGAACTGCCGATAAGATTCTAATTATTAAAACTTTTAATTTTAGTGATCATCTAAAAATTCATATGAAAACCCACGATAATCAGAAACCATTCCAATGCACGGTATGCAATCGTGGCTATAATACAGCTGCAGCATTAACTTCGCATATGCAAAACCACAAGAAACAAGCAGCCATTTTATCGGCAGGGAGAAACCCTCAAGCTCTTAATTACAGTCCTCGATCAAGTGGATCGGTATCAAGTGGTGGAAGTTTACCAAAAAGGAGCTATGGCGCATCATTAATTACTGGCATTAGTAAAACCAATCGAATGGACCATCCGAAACGACCCAGCACAGTTAATCTGCTGACGTGTAATTATTGCTCCAAGTCCAAGTTTATTTCTATTGAGCAGTTCAATGAACATATTAGCTCGAATCATAGCAATGATTTATTTTCCGTAAAGAAACCGGCTCCACAGCTTGCTATAAGTAACGCTATTTCGGAAATAAACCCGTTCCAGCTGAGTTGTGAATATTGCACTAGAGAGTTTGGAAACCTTCCAGCTTTATTTCAACATATACGCCTCGCACATGTTGATCGATTGGCCAGTCCCAATTCATATTTTGAACATTTCAATCGTTTGGCTGCATGTGGTACTTTTAGTCCTCGTTTGGTAAGTGACAAAACAGTTGAAAGGGAAGGCATCACGGTAAATGAGAGTAATATAAAGCTAGAGCCACTTTTACCTTCAGCAAACGTCCATGCTGAAAAACAAGAGGATGAGCCCACTGATCTTAGTCAAAATAATCGACGTTCTTCAACTGCGCTCCAAATGCCAGAAGAGTCTCTCCAGCCAGATATGTTTTTTTGCAATCAATGTAATGCTGGATTACCAGATTTTGATACATTTCGAAACCACTTAAAAACTCATATAACGCAAGACGTAAACCTTATATGTCATCATTGTGGTTTGGCTTTACAAGAACAATCAGAACACGAACGGCATGTGATTTCACATTATTTAATAACAAGTTCTGAATATATTTGTGCGGGCAACAAGTGTGACAAATCTCATTCAAAACCGGAGGAACTTCAAGATCATATGTTTGAGCAGCACGCAATCCCTATGTTCAAGTGTTCTGTGTGCTCCGAACTATTTGAGTCAAAAATGGCAATTCAGATGCATTTTGCTTGTACACATTCCATTGAAACTAAAATATTCCGTTGCTCAGCCTGTATGGAAATATTTCGATCTGAAAATGAGTTTAGTACGCACGTCAAATCACATCATCCTGGTCTTAATAGACCGACACCTAATTCCCTTCAATGCATGTTTTGCCGCACTATTTGTTCAAATGAATTAGAGATGCATTTTCACTTAGCTGCACATGCTCGTCAATTCCAGTGCCCTTCATGTCCGGAAACATTTCATGTCGAATTTCTTTTAGATCGACATATGCAAAATCATCATACAGACAATAATCGAGAAGCATTGTCTTCGAACGGAACATACGAAGAAGTATCAACATCTTCAAATATGCCGAGTCAAATGAACTCTCCTTATATGAATTCCTTAATAAACAAAGCGCCACTAATGAATATTTCTTCACAAAATAACAATACAAGCATTCTTGACTACAATATTGCTTTTGCGGCACATCTTAATAAAAGAATTTTCCCTGGTCCCCATGAGGCTGCGACAACATTGACCAATGGCAAGTTTTATAATGCTTTGCAAGTGGATACAGACACCGTGAAACATCCCGATCTCATGTATGGGCTCAGTGGACGGTATTTTGACACAAGCCGGACATTGATAGAGATGTATGCACATCGTAGAATGGAGAAACCAAAAACTGTGGAAAACTATTATAACAGAACAAAACAACAACATTTAAAATCTCAAACAGATTCAAACCGAATACGATCACCCGTAGAGTCAATAATTCCAACTCCCATTTCTTCGAACTCTTCAAAGGGGTATAGCTGTGATATTTGCGAACGTAATGATTTCCGATCAGAAGGAGAAGTTAATTCGCATCGTAAAATCGTTCATAACATAAAAACAGGTGTTAGTCTGCGCTGCGCTTATTGTTCAGGAAATTTTAAGTCACGCACTGAGTTGGAACATCACATGAGAACTTGTCATAATTCTACCGGTAAACACAAATGTCTCATTTGCGATGAAATTTTCCCCTCGCCAGCTATATTGGCGGAACACAAATTGCAACATTCCAAGGTTGGTCAATCCGGAAAATGTTCTCACTGCAGCAAACCATTGGACGATGTTGCAGCATTTAAAGCACATCTTAGTGAGCACAACATTGAGAGTCAGCTTCCCATGCAATGTATCTGCTGCCGACAATCGCTTCACTCTGATTTTGAAATCAGTTTGCATGCTCAGTAATGAAACAGATAAATAATTTTGAAATATAAATTGTAATAATATTTTATTTTTAGGTTCCATACTAAATCTTCGAACGTCCCAGAAAGTGTATGTGCTCTTTGCTTAGAGTCTATTCCCAACCCGATTAACGGAGAAGCAAAAGTTTGTGACAAATGCTGCCGAAAACACAAACTTGGCTCTCATTTTCAGGGCCAAAGATTACGTAATGTTCCTTATGAACCTATTTCCGAAGCTTGCCAAAGCACAATGAAGGTTGAAAGTCGTTGTAATATCTGCAAATTGATTCTACCATGCACCCAAAAACTCCAAGAACATTTAGTCGAACACACATTTGCTGGTTGTGAAGAGCGAGGCTTTAATTGCTATATATGCTCTGCTGTGTTTACTGCTCCAAGTGGTTTGCTATCCCACATGCATGAGCATGGATTGCAGAGCAGGCCCTACGACTGTAATCTATGTAGCGAAAAGTTTTTTTTCCGAACGGAACTTGAGCATCATTTACTGAGCCATGAGAAGCGGCAACTGCTTGAATCTAAAAATAAAGAAAAATGTGAGAACAAATTTTCGTTTCTTAAAGAAGTCGATAACTCTGCGTCCCATCTGACTGAAGTTAAAAGGGAAATATTCCCGGTTAATGATAAAATCATAGCAGGCGAAGAGGATGAGTATATCGAAATAGAAAAAGTTACTGATGTCCATCAGACATATAATAATGCAAAGCAAACTTTTGTCACACATAAAGAAGGCTTACCAATGGAAGAATTAAACCAAAATTGTGCCGAAGAAAACCGTATTTAATTATTTATAGTTGTCTACTTTGATGCCTCTTAGAAAATATATAATATAATTATACATACATATGTGAATATACACAATACTATTATTGTATGTCAACCACGTTAAATTATTCACATAAATTTGCAATTGATTGCTTCTTTTACGGTTCAGCGTTTTAGCACTTTTACAGTTATAAATTAGAACCTATTGTTTTTGGTTCTTGTGATTTTATTATAAATTCCCAACACAAAACGCAAGATAATTTTCCACTAATCTCTAAAATAAGGCGATTTTGTAGAATATAAGAAATTATAAATACGTATTCAGATTTCACTTTAAATATCATTTCAATAATTATTGTTGATATATTTAGTTTAATTGTAGGAAATTCATTTGATTATTAACCTAAAAATAATCCCGCTTACATAAATCTATAAGCAGTAAGCGTAAACGTAAGGGGGTACTAAATAGGATACCTATTATTATGTATTTATGAAACTTTTATCAAACGAGCAAATATATATATATAACAGTGTGACTATGAACTAATAAGAACTTGTTTTACTCTTCATGATAGCTTCTAAATACCATATATACATCCATATGTAAGTATGTATGAGGTTACAGTTGCTTCGCAGCACCACATATTTCACTTGAATCAGATAAGTACACACAGATATATGCCTATGTTATCTTCTCTGAGGAGTTAATCAGCGCAACGATTATCGACGCTACCCTACGCATACCCTGCCAACCACGGCTAACCACTTTTCTCAAACATTTCAATACAAGTACACATTTTTTCTCTATGCACTAAAACCAACGTACATTTTCGGGTTATTTTTTGTTTTGTCTTTCATTTCTTGATTTATTTGAATGACTGCGAAGGAGAGAACATAATTGTCAATAGTGCCAATAGAAAATCCCATAAAGGGTAATAAAAAAACGATTGAAAGACGCATGTCATTCGTACGCATACAACAAGAAAGTAAGTAAGTGAATTTTATGTGATTTTTTTAAAAATAATTTGCAAATAACTACTTCATTTGTTTTTATAGAAATCAGAATGAATTGGAAATAGCAGATAGCAGCAAATATCAATTGTTAAGTAAGTAAGTATGTGAAAAATAGTCTGTGTACCTTGAACCGCGCAGTCCAATAAAATACGCAAAAATAAGTACACACATATGCATGTATTTTATGCGTTTAAATTGACCTGCACTATCTAATATAATATGTGAAAACAAATGTCTGTTAGTTATTATTATTTTTAATAAGAATATTTAATCTTTATTTTCAGATTTTATTTAATTAATCTTTGCTTTCTATTTATATTTAATATAATTTATTTTAATCAATTAATCTTTCTTTTCCTATTAGATATTACAAATTCAATGTAATTATTATTTATATTCAAGTATTAATAACCTTTATTTTGTATTATACTTGTCTTTTATTTTCAGGTTTCAATAATGTTTTTCTTTGATAAATCCTTTTTCAGATATTATTTATTTTTTTAAATCAAATATATTTTTATTTGTCTAAATTATAATAAATTTTATGTAAATATATAAAAAGTAAAATAAGAATTAAAAAATTTTAAATGTAGGAATCAAAAAATGCAACCCTGCATCAGCTGTTTAAAAACAGAAAATGCAACCCTGAATCAGCTCTCGATTGGGGATATTAGAGCGGGACAGATATACTTTTTTATATGACACTGGTGAATGAGTGCAACAGAGATGTATGGAAAAGTGGTTAGAATCTTCACGGCACTTTGGCATTCTAACTTTTTTACTTTCTACCTACTAATTACCAAATGTAACGACCGGTTGAACAATTTCAAACTGCACTTATCTCATATCTTCGCATTGCCGCTGTTTTCCCGTAGTGGTGCCAAAAACTTCTTACTTTGCTCTTAAAAAGTAGCTGAATTATTTATTAAATTTGTATATAAAGTTTAACCTTCTGTTAAAAAATACATAATACTAACTCCATACATATTCACTGAATTTACTTATACATTAAAGACGCATGAGATTTTCAGTTGTATATTTATTGTTTATTACACCGAGCGAATTTCGAATTTGAGATCGTTTGTAATCAATTCGATCCAGAAAAATAGACTAAACCCCACGATTCAATAATTGTTTTGTTATTTTAAATATTAAATATATTCACCAAACTAAGGATATAACAAATTGACCTAATTGCAGGGAGCCCTCATCACTCGAAATGTTTAATCAAAATATAATATAATATATCTGTATGTTTCGATTGTAAAGTTTATTATGTACGAATTATAAAAGGGATGTATTAAAAATCGATTACGCTATATTGTAAGTATTATTATATAATTCGTCGATACGGCGGGATAAACAGCCGATGTAAAAATGCTGTCTGCTCGAGGACAGACGTTTTTGCTCGTTGGGCGGTGGAGGCTTATAGTGGGTTGGTATCCCACATGTGCATATACCCCTGCTTACCGGTGTGATGTATTGATGTGTGAGGTCGGTGTGTACTTCTTTTTCCTGATGTAATGAGTTGTATTGTTTAGGTTTTATATAACAGGACGGAAAGCTTAACTCATTTACAACGTATATTCAAATATGTATTCAACAGGAATAAAAAAAAATTGTAGACAAATAGTACTAAATAAGGACAATCAAGATTTTCAGCGAATTATTTTCCGAAAATCCCCCAATAGTCTACTACGTGACTACAAATTAAAAACAGTGTCCTTCTGCGTTAACTGTGCCCATATTTAGCCGTTCAAAGACTCCATGAATTGGCAGAAAACTCAAAGTCAGAATTTCCTTGTACATCTATCTTATCGTCCTGTCTGAAAGTCTCAGTCTTCCACGAGCCACTATTATACGCGTAGGCAACATTTCCATTAAAAAAAATATCGGCTAAACACTAAACTAACAGTTAAAAGGACCTAAAGAACATAAATTTGTTAAATTCGAAAACGAAGTCAACATCGGCATTATTCCTCATAACAAAACAACAAATTAGATGCTCTGTAACAAAACTTTTATTCATTAGGATGGCTTTCGCCAATTATGGTACAAGCGAAAATCCTAATATAAAAATTAGGGGTAGACGTAACCGACAGAGACGAACAAGTGAAAGGACTTCGCTTAACAAAGTGATCCCAATTCACAATATTTCACAGACATAACTTTGAAGAGTAACGTTCTTATGATATTTAATAATGGCAGGAGATTATTTAGTAAGGATTATTTATTTGATGTATTGCAGATGTTTGAAGTGGTACAAGTTATACGGATATATGCAAAATAAGCCGGAAGATCGAAAATATTTATATGTATTAGATGTAAGGGAACCAAGGCTATTATTAATTCCATTTAATCATTTTTAACATACGAATACCATTCGCATTTCTATAATAAAAGGTTCGCAAAAGAAATGAGATCCACATATTCGGTTTCTGGGGGCTTCATGATAAAAAAGTTGTCCACACAAAAACTATGGCAGCATATAGCTGTAGTAATCCGATCTGAACAATTTATTCGGAGATTGATATCTCGTTAAATGAAAAAGTTGTCCGTACAAACACTTATTCCGATCGTTCAGGTATAGCAGTAATGGTTCGACGTTACTAACAAGTAAGCCAGCTTCATGAGGATAAAAGTACGTGTGCAAAATTGCATACTGATGCTTCAAAAACTGTGGGACTACCTAGTTATTATCTGAAAGAAGCAAATGACTAAGCAAATAGCTTTACCAATCTATAGCGGTTAAATTATTAAAATTGGCATCTTTCTTCTTCTTCTTCTTACTTGGCGTAGGCACCGCTTACGCGATTATAGCCGAATTAACAACAGCGCACCAGTCGTTTCTTCTTTTCGCTACGTGGAGTTTCATCGAATGCGATATTCGCCGTGGCCAACGCGCAAGGACCATAAATCTTTCGCAGAACTTTTCTCTCAAAAATCGCAACGTCGACTCATCAGTTGTTGTAATCGTCCAAGCCTCTGCACCATATAGCCGGACATAAATTATGAGTGACTTATAGAGTTTGGTTTTTGTTCGTCGAGAGAGAACTTTGCTTCTCAATTGCCTACTTAGTCTGAAGTAGCACCTGTTGGCAAGAGTWATCCTGCGTTGGATTTCGAGTCTGACATTGTTGGTGGTGTTTACGCTGGTTCCAAGACAGACGAAATTATCTAAGATTTCAAAGTTATGACTGTCAACAGTGACGTGAGAGGAGACAGGAGATATTTCGTCTTGCCCTTGTTCACTGCCAGACCCAATTATTTTGCTTCCTTATCCAATCTGGAGAAAGCAGAACTAACGGCGCGATGATATCAGTATTATCTTTCAATCTTTTCCAAGATTTGGCGCATGGTGAATATCTGGTCGGTTGTTGATTTTCCAGGTCTGAAGCCACACTGATAGGGTCCAATCAGTCTGTTGACGGTGGGCTTTAATCTTTCACACAATACGCTCGATAGAACCTTATATGCAATGTTGAGGAGGCTTATACCACGGTAGTTGGCGCAGATTGTGGGGTTTCCTTTTTTGAGGATTTTGCATATCATACTTAAATTCCAATCGTTGGACATGCTTTCGTCCGACTATATTTTACAAAGAAGCTGATGCATGCTCCTTATCAGTTCTTCGCCGCCGTGTATGAATAGCTCGGCCGGCAATCCATCGGCCCCCGCCGCTTTGTTGTCCTTCAGGCGGGTAATTGCTATTCGAACTTCTTCTTAGTCGGGCAATGGAACTTCTGCTCCATCGTCATCAATTGAGGAATCGGGTTCGCTTTCTTCTGGCATTGTGCAATCACTGCCACTCAGCAGCTGGAGAAGTGTTCCTTCTATAATTTAAGTATGCTCTGGACATCGGTTACTAGATCACCTTTGGGGGTTTTACAAGAGTATACTCCGGTCCTGAAACCTTCTGTAACCCTCTTTCGTAGAATTTTCGGGCATTACCCCTATCGGCCAGCTTATCAAACTCTTCGTACTCACGCATTTCTGCCTCTTTCTTTTTCTGTCTTCAAATGCGTCTCGCTTCCCTCTTCAACTCTCGGTATCTATCCCATCCCGCAAGTGTTCTGGTCGATCGTAACGGTGCAAGGGAGGCAGCTTGTTTTCTCTCCGCTGCGACACGGAACTCCTCGTCGTACCATCTGTTCTTYTGMACTTTACGAAAACCAATGGTTTCGGTTGCAGCTGTACATAAGGAGTTTGAAATGCCGTCCCACAGTTCCCTTATACCGAGTTGTTGAGGAGTGCTCTCAGAGAGCAGGAG